GAGATCCAACGGCCTTGAAGTGGGATATCATAAGTATAAAGTTGTCCGAACCAACCCCCCCACCCCCTCATCTCTCTCCTCTCTTCAAACCCTAGAGACCGCCTGTCTCCGCCCTGAGCCACCGTCCGCCGCCGGCCGGAAATCGCCTCCGCCGGTGGCGATTCTCCAAACGACCCCAAATTCACACCACACCTTCCTCTCCATCTCCCCATCCCATATCCGTCATTATTTTCCTCCAAATCTCAACCAAACACCCCAAATCTTTCAAACCCTAGGCGCCGCCACCACCGTGCACGGCGGCGCCACCACCAAATAATCCCAACTTCACACCCTACACTCCCTTGACCTTCCGCATCCCCAATCCCTAGCTGAAACGTTTCAAACACCACTGACTCTCTTCGAATTTCAGATCGAAGTTCAACTTCAAACCCTAAAATTGGAGTCCTTTCGATTCTGGACTGGAATAGTCTTTGATTCTGTGTTTCTCATGGAAACACATGATTAAGGACAATTTCAGTCCGAATTCGACCAAAGCTCAACTGGAATCCGTCCAAATCTCAAATCTCAAGTTTTGAAGAATCCTAGTATGTGCTGGTCCAAACCAGTAAGCGTCCAAATCCTTTGATGTTAATAATGCTTTCATTCTAGTTTAATCTAGGTCAGGCACTTTATTGTTAGTTTAGTTAGATTCTTCTTAGTTTCTGATGTGTTTGATTTTCTTATAATAATCGTAATTTGTTCGTTTATTAATCTAGGTGTGATTTGAATTTTAAAATTTAAGATTGAGCATGTTCTAAGCTTTGATTCAGTATTCTAAAATTGTTGTCCTAATTTTTCTGATTTCCTTTAGTATAATTGTGATTAATTGCTTCCTTTAGCCTAATTTCAACTTTGAGTTGCATTAAAATTCAATAAATATGTTCTTGCATTATTTCTGCATGGTTAATTGAGTTCTAGGAAGTCTTGTTGGATCTTTTATCATTTTGTGTTAATAATGCTTTCATTCTAGTTTAATTTTGATTAATTTTAGGCTGTTTGGTTATAGCTGGTAGATTTTAGCTAGGGTCAGTAATTTCAGAGGGTTTCAGGGGTAGTTTAGGCATTGAAAAGGGTAGTTTAATCAGATTTGGTAATTGTTGAAATGAAGTAAGGATAGAATAGGAATTGTAATGGGTATAGACCCTTCTAGAGTGGGCTTTAGTATAGATTTCAATAAAATAGGTGTAGTTACTTGGGTAACAAGTTAAAAAATAAGGGACTAAAAGCTGAAAATGAGTAAGGACTAAAAAGAAAGCTGAAAATCTGATAAGGCCTCATGTGTGCCTATAAAAGGGCATGCCCTTGCCTTCATTTGCAAGTTTTTTTGGGAAAAAGGTCCAGAGATCTGAAATTTGAGATTCAAAGTTTAGAGTCTAGAAATCTGAAAATTAGAAATCTAAATTTAGAAGTTCAAAAATTTCAAAATCCGAAAGCTTGAAGCCTCGAAAGCTTACTGTTCCATTGAGATATTTAGTTTGATTTTGAGGTTCCCAAATTCTAAATCAAATCTCTATCCCACCCGAGGTTGAAAAATGGCATGAGTTTCCTTGTGCTGCTAGTATTTGAGGTTCTAGAGGTCCTAGGACTACTTCGAGTTAATTTGGGTCACTCAAGCTTGGTTTGGTGCTTGCTAGAGTTATTTGATTGAAACTAATTTCTGGATTGCTTGATACCGTTTCTGGGTTTGAAATTGGCCTTAAACTGTTGTTTGCTGCTGTGAACTGTTGCTGGCTAAGCTGACCTCGATTTTCCCTTTTGCTTTGTCCAAATTCCAGGTACAAGCTCTAAACTATGGTGATGTTCATGTGATCTGGGAAACGAAAAATGGAAATTCTATCTCTGTTGAAGTGATATCATGTTAGCTTAGTTTAATTCCAGTTTTAGTAATTAATGTTGTAATTGGACTGGACTATATTAACTTTCTAATGTGAGGTGGTGAGAGCCATGTTAGTTTTGCATTGAGATTACAATTTGTAGCCTGTTTATTGCTGGTGTTAATTTCACAAGTCATTATGGTATTTTGAGGTCAATCACATGAGTGTTAATGTGCAGTATCTCACAGGTTATATAGGTTGTTTTGTCGTTTCAGAAATGTTTCATGTGTTAATGGTAATCAATCAGGATGTTAAAACAGATGAATGAACAAGCGTGAGTTTAGCTGTAATTGATTAAATACTAATTGAATTGTGAAATTAAGTCCAAGTCCATCTCCTAATTGCTTCAGGTTCGTACATATGTCGTTAATGATATAGGAATTTTATAGGAATGATTATGTAGTTTAGGGCCAATTCACGTTTCGGTTGAGCAGGCAGTAAATTTGTAATTCAACATGTTTAATTACTTGTTTATTCAAATATTAGTAAGGCTGGACTGATACATCACATATTTCTATTAATTGTTAATGGGCCAAACCGGACTCTACCCGGTAAATTCCCTTCAGCACAATTCGTTGATGGCTTGGGCCTTGTTGGCCCTAAAGTCTGGCCCAGTAATTCCCCTTTTGCCTCAGCTCCCCTGTACACAAGTTGGGTCAGTACTGAAACCCAGTTGCCGGACAGTGACATTTACAAATTCTGGGCTAACGTTCAAAGCCCAAAATTGTTATAAATCCAAAACCCTTTAAACTATATTAAGAATATGGAGATTGATTTGCAAATATAAATTTAGGTTCTCGAGTTAAGTAGCGGGTTCAAATTAAGAGGGTCCTCCCTTTTGTTTGAATTCGGACTTGAACTCAAGGCCCGAATGTACAAATGCAAATTAATTAGGCCCTTTTAGAGACAAAAGAAATAGAAAATCATAGTTTCTTTAGGATGGCCTTTAAATAAAATGAGACGAGCCTCGCCGCACAAAACATATAAATTGCGGGGCCCTCATTAAATACTTTATTAAAATATTTTAGAAATTCGGGACATGCCATTTAGCGAATTTTCATGGCTTCCCGCAAAGTTAATAAGACGCTATCCACTCTAGGCGCGCTTTTAATAATATTATTTTCCTAAATTCGGGAGTGCATTTCATGCAACCCAAATCTAAATCCCAAAATGTTGAATAAGAGGTGTTGAGGATCCGGGTGCATTTCATGTGACGTGATCCAGAAACACGCTCTTAAACGGCGTTCACTTTCGTAAAAAATAACTAAAAGCGGTAGATAATCTTAAAATTGCACTATAGGATGGAATATGTATAAAAATCAGATTTTAGCCATTTATGATAATTTAAGCGACCGTGCTAGAACCACGGGATCCGGGGGTGCCTAACACCTTCCCTCGGGTCAACAGAATTCCTTATTCAGAATTTCTGGTTCGCAGACTCCAATTGGGGAGTCGACAATTTTCCTTGATTTGGGATTCAAGTTAAAACCGGTGACTTGGTACACCAAAGCCAATCTTATCCCAAGTGGCGACTCTAAAAATCAAATAAATAATCCCATTTCGAATAATGTCACTTTAAATGGAAAAACTCCCTTATACATTTATCCTTCGGGGTAGGTGTGTAAAAAAGGAGGTGTGACAAAAGGCCACCTTTAATGTTTTTAAGTCCTTGTCTTTTTATGTGTTTAATTTAGAACAAATATTCTTATATCTATGCAAATACATATATGTAATATATATTATTAATATCAAAGACTTGGACATGGGGCATAGCCGGCGTTTGACCAAAAAGTATAAAACTTTGATTAAACTAATTAAATAAAAGGATATGGGATTAATCCTAGCTAAAGATAATGATCTTAGATCTAATGTTGGTTTATGCAGATAACGTGGGACCACGTTAAAATGGATTTAATGCAATACCCATTAAATGTTATGGTTGTTAATGGAATGAGAATAATGACAAGCAATGCATTAAATGTAAATAAAGGAGAAGATTCACCCAATATTGAATGAGATGGATGATTTCTCCCTCTCACGATGATGATCGACAAGAAACTTATAAGAATATTAAAGACTTTCTCGGAAATGACATGGAATAATCCAAAAAGACCAATCTCTTTAGTAAGGTGTTCTTTGTATTTATTTAGAGAGCTTGCTTTTCAAAAGAGTTCTTGTCATATAGAATCTTACATGCCTTTTGCCTTATCTCTTATACTCCTATTAATATAGGATATTCCCAAAGAACCCTAAAAGTACAAACAGAGAGAATATTTAAGAGAATATTCCCTCTGAAGATCCCAATACAAAACTAGCCGTTACTACTATCTGCTCTACTCGACCTCGGTCGTGGTTGACTGCTCGACGACTCGTTCCATTGATCTCTGGTCGACCTCAACCAAATTGCCCATGATAAGTTACAAATTACTCACGATAATCACCTCTTTGTGCTGAATTTCCTCGGTCGGATTTCGACCCATACACCGGTCAGACCTAAAATAAATAATTTATATTTTGATTTATTTCTACAATTAAAATCTGTTTTATTTGGATTTTAAATATTTTTGAATAAACAGATGCGTATGTTTGTGAAAAACATATCTTTTTGAAAAGGTCCAATGGTTGCTTAAAAATAGAAGTACTTCCAAACAAAGTGGATATAGAAAAATCTACTTCCAAACAAAGTGGATATAGAAAAATCTGCAAGTATATTCTTGGCTTGTTGTATCATGAAAAAAATTATTTATGTTTCCCCAATTTGTATATGGGCAATATCTTCTTTAAGAAAAGTCGTTCTCACGCTTCAAGCCTTCTACAATTTTGTTTTCAATTATTATTTTTCTAACAAGAAGTCTCTCTCTCTTTTTTTTTTTTTTTTTTTTTTGCGTGATGGGTGGATAGGATATGTAGGGTGGACGATGTCAATTTTCTGCAACAACAATTTTTCAGTTATTGTGTGTACAAAACTTAAAGTCAACACGAAATTGGAAGCTTGGGTGGAGGAGGAGTTTAATCAAACAGTTGCATGCGTAGGTAATCATAGAAACTCAGAAAAATGGACGCAGTTTTTTTTCTCCTTCTAGCTAATTAGTAGCTAGTAGCTAGCTATAAATAAAGAGTTCCTACTTGTTTTAATTACTCATCACAAGTTTGGTGAGAGTTCAAGTGTCATTAGAGTTTCTAAAAGCCATGGCAAATCCTATGGATACAATAATCATAGTAGTAGTTTTATATCTGGGAATGGGTGAAACACACAGTATCCATTTCAGTGAATGCAAAAGGCCAGAAAGAAGAGTTGCTCTCTTCATCTTTGGGGATTCCTATTTTGATGTGGGAAACAACAATTACATTAATACTTCCACTCTTGACCAAGCCAATTTCTGGCCCTATGGACAATCTTACTTCAAGTCCCCTACCGGAAGATTTTCTGACGGCCGTTTGATTTCAGATTTTATTGGTAGGCAATTGTTCCTAATTCATCCATATTATTGCTTGAATATAATTGACAAAAAACTGCGCGTCTTTTTCATTTTGTGACAGCTGAACATGCAAATATTCCAGTGCCGCCACCCTTTCTGCAGCCTCAGAATGAACAGGATTATTACAATGGAGCAAACTTTGCATCGGCTGGAGCTGGATCTCTTGTGGAGACTTTCGAGGGAGCAGTACGTTCTTTTGACTTATAAAAAATTAAAAATTAGTACTATCTTATTAGTCATATTATTAATTTCATTTTTAAAGATGATTATAAGAAAATGCAGGAGGAAGGAAAAAGATGCTAGGTTTCATGACTAGGCGAAAGAATTTAAGCGAGCTAGCTAGTTAGGTAACATTAAGGTCGTCTAAATGAAGTACTTTATCTAACCACAAAAAGCAAAAGCTCTTTCAGCTTTAAAAGAAAATAATTAACTTACCGCTAATTGCGTTGAAATATATTCTAATTGCGTGTAGTCTTGCCTCATATAATTCAAAAAACTTCATGTTTTGCATGTTATTGAATTATCACTAGCCAGTTGCATGCATTATTGAACGGACAACTGTCAGATAAGATAACAAAGTCGGAGTATGAGGAATGAAAAAAAAACTGGTCCCCGATATTGAGACTATGTTATACTACTATAATTTACAGTGAAGCATCTTTTTACTTCCTCCTTTTACATTTTCCTATGAACTTCACTTATAAAGCAAATTTTTGAACAAGTAGGATAGATAAACTTTCTTTGCTTGGTGCAAATTCTATTACTGCGTTTATCAAATTCTTCTATTTGTTCCTTTCATTCAAGTGGTTGCTTCTCTTAAAATATATAAAAAGAGCAGTCAGGTCCACTAAGCTTCCGCTATGTGTGGGGATCGGAGAAAGGGCCAGACCACAAGTGTCTATTATAGAGGCTGTTTCCACGGCTTTGTTTAACCAAAAAAATAGATTTATCGGTCAAAGTCTAAATTTAAAAGAAAAACGGGCTACTAATAACCAGGTTTTACTTCACTTCCACAATGTTATTTAAGGAAAACAATAAGAATAGTAGAGAAAATATACTAAAAGAAATAAGAATAACTTGATGGACAATTTATAAAGTCAAGGCTGAGAGTTTCGATAAAGCAGAGAAATAAAGAGTATATTAAATAGTACTTCCAATCTGTCCTTACAAATAAAATTTTGTATCCTTATATAGGAGTGTACAATCAAAACGGTTTTATCACATAATTTGGGTTTATTATGGGCACTAATAGTATTGATTACCCATTATCACAAATAGCTATAACTGGCGTATTTATTGCTATAAATACCCTGTAGCTATTCTGATTCCCCTTCCTTATTTACTTCCGGTTCATGTATCTTTCCTTCTTTTTGATTTTTATTCATTCTGTCCTCGACTCTTCTTTGTCAACTGCTAGGCCCGGTTCTCTTTTCTGTACCGTCTCGTGGGTGTTTCTCCTGTGCCTTCCTCTCTCAATTAATTCTATTAATTGAGAATGCCACTTGTCGCTACATCATTATTTCACGCGTCGTGCTTTGTCAGCATACTAACATTCCACGTGTAATGCCATGTTTCCACCAATACAAATAATCCCCCCCCNNTTTCTGAATATTCTCTACTGAATATTCAGGAAGTGGAAAGCTTTTATGGCGGGAATTCGCTGCCGCCATTTTTCGAATATAATCATGTCTCCTTCAGAACCGATGCGACGTACATCACATCTATTTAATGCTCATGCCACGTGGCTTCTACCAATTGGTTCTGCAATTCCTCAGCGCTTTTTAGGATTTTTCTGCGGCCGCGTCAGTCACGAAGATATGGTTCCTTTATGACGCTCTATTCTTTTTTATTTCTTGGAGTCTTTCTTCTTCCCTACTCATCACCTTCTTCTTGCTTTACACTTTTCTGCTTCTTTTTTCTGTATTTGTTTGGCCAATCATGTCTTTCCCAGATACCCGTAAGGTTGTGATTGTTGACGAGTTTTTTCTTTCTAATGCTCCCATTAGAAGTAGAAGAGGTGGTAGGCTTCGTATTCTTGGTTCAATATCTAATCGTAGTTCCTCTTTCCAGAGTAGTGCTACTAATCCATCTTCCTCTAGGCCTAGGGCTCCTATAACCATTAGATCTTTTTTCAGAAGTAGAGATTCAACTGATAGTATGCGTGAACCCATAGTTACAGAGATTGTTCCTCAAGAATTTTTCTTTGTAACTGATTGTGAAACCATAAGAAATCAAGTTTCTTCTATGGCCTCCCTCAATCCTGCTCACCTTTACCCAAGTTTGATTACTACTAGTCTTCTTTCCCTTGTTCGAAAAGAGTGTTACTGGAAACAAGATTTTTGAGTTTCAGTTCCTGTTGCCAATCAGAGAATTACTTCCTACCATGCTGGTTTCTTTTTCGTCTATACCTACCCTTTTACTTTAGGGTTCAAACCTCCTATTGATCCAGTGATCCTTGAGTTCTGCCGTTACCTAAATGTGTGTCTTGACCAGATTGGTTCCATAGTATGGACGGCTGTTGCATGCCTTCGTTATTTAGCATAACCGGTTTCCATGCCTTTTACTTTTCGGCACTTGCTTCACTTATACTCCCCCAAGCTGTTTCGTGAATGTGTCTTTACTCTCGTGGCTAGAAGTAAAAGAGTTTTGGTCATTCGTGAAGATGATCGGGACTGTGGCTGGTATGCTCGTTTTGTCGCTGCTCCTATTAGTGGATTAGTGGGCGAAAAAAATATGCCTTTCCCGGAAAAATAGAACTTTGCACGTAAGCTTCTCTTTTTTTTTCATTTTTTGAAATATCTCAAAAGGTTTCATTATAATCAAAATACTTAACTATTCAGTATCCATGGAAGTTTTTGATGAAATTCCCAACTTCCGTGCTTAGGTAGAAAAGATGTTGACAGCTGCACCTATGGAGAAGAGGTCTTGGAAATACCTTTCTCAAAAATTTGGTTGGAAAGTGAAGACGCACGGTAATTTTTACCTTTATTGTTTCTTTCTTTCTCTCCCTTTTTTATTCAAGATTTTCTCATCTTCCCCTTTTTTTATTAGGGTTTCCAATTCGTGGTATTAGTCCCGCATCTGTTCCCTCAACCAGGCTTTCCATGAGTCTTGCTCAGGAAAGAATTTTAAGTGCTTCTTCTTTTAAAAGGAAAACTGATGGAGCCCGTGGCTCTGAGAGTGAAGAAGAGATAGAGAAGGGTTCTTTAGTGCGAAGACCACGAGTCAGGAGACACGTAATTTATGATGATGAAGCTACTCCTTCTCATGATCCTCCAACAAGTTCAGTCCCTTTTAGACTCTTGGACGAGCCAGAGAGTGATCCTTTAGTGGTTTCTGATGATGATGATGTTGATCCTCCCCTAGGTTCTGTTGATAGATTGTTTGCTCATGGTTTCGTGGGTGATGAAGCTTCTGGGCCTGTTTCCGAGGAATTACCTCTTGCTACCATTCCAGCTTCGGTTTCCATTACCTCTCTTGTGTCTTTACATGTTGCTTCTCCTGCCGTTGCTCCCGTGTCTGCTTCCACTTCATCTGTTATTCCCGTGGCTGCTTCCCATGCAAAGACTGGACCCTCGAGCAACGGGATGACAATGAAAAGAGTTGTTGTTGAGGTTCCTGAATGTGGAAGCTTATTAAGAAAATCGGGTCAAGCTGATGTGCGGTTAAAGCCCTTGCATAACCCCGAAGAGAAGAAGAAGTTAGAAAGCCATAGCTCACTTACTTGGATGAATGATATCGTTCATTCTTCCTTGAAGGTACAGTCTTACTTATACTTCCTTTCCTTTCTCTTTCTTATTCATGAATCTTCTTGCTTTTTCGCATATCAACTAGATTGGCACAGAGCTTATGAAAAGGATTTCTCAAGCGGAGCAGCAAGTTGTGGACTTCCACATCGAGGCTAACAACTGGAAGGGACAATTTGAAGGTCTATAACTGGAGAAAGAAGTTCTGGTGGAAGAAAGAATGCCTTGGAGCAACAAATGAAGGTGGTTGCTGCTGAATTAGCAGTTGAAAAGGCTTCTTCTAGCCAAGTTGGAAAGGACAAGGATATACTTGAGTCCTCCTTTGCTGAACAACTTTCCAAGGCAACTGAAGAGATAAGGAGTTTAAGGAAACTACTTAATCAAAAAGAGGTTTATGCGGGAGAATTGGTTCAAACATTTACTCAAGCTCAAGAAGATCTCCGTGAATCTACTGATAAGATTCAGTTCTTGAAAAGCCCTCTCGCTCCTTTGAAGACAGCTTATGATGCTTCTAAAGTAGAAACGAAGAGCTGAGAGCTTAAATTGACAAGTGGGAGAAGGACTATGCGATTCTCGAGGACAAACTATCATTGGATGTGAGTTGGTCTTTCTTAAGCACTCGCCTTGAGACTCTAATAGAAGACAAACAGGAGGGTTTTAACCTTAATGCTGAGATTGTTAAAGCTAAAGAAGCAATTGATAAAACTCAGCAACGTCAAAGCTTTTCTTCACCTGAAGATGAAGGTCCCAAGGGTGATGGAAATGGACTTGTTCCTGGTGAAGCTGATGTTCAAGCCTCTTCTTCCCAAGCCAATCCTTCTTCTCGCGTTGATGATGATCCCGCAGATGATGCCCCTTAGTTTTTTCTTGCTTTCATGTTTGTTCAACTTTTGGGAAGTTTGTTGCTTTTCTTGGAATGTTTTTTTTTGGTTTCCCCTATCTTATTTTGGGGTTTAATGACAAACAAGTACCTTTGTTTCCCCCAAATTTTAATATATATTTTTTCGGTTACTTTTACCGTTTATTTTGTTCTTTGATTTTGAGATTTTATTTTGCTCTTTGATATTTGAGCTTACATATTTTTTAAATGCTCTAATAATCCGTGATTTTTATAAATACGGGTTTTTATAAAAGAGGTCCCTTTTATGTAAGCGACACTGATGAAGATAACGTCTCATCTTCATATTGGAGTAAATATATGAAAGACGAAATAGACCAAAAGGAAACAATTTGAGGAAGTTTCATCCTTTGAACTTTCAAATAAATTTGGTATATGATTTTCTTTATTATTCGTACAGTACTTTCACAACTGCTTTCTTTGTAGCAGATTTTCAGATACAAAATCGGGTTTTTATCCCGTGACTAAATTTTGGCATTAACCTAAAAGCTCGTAGGAACTTGGATGTATCTTGTATCCTTCTTGCGAGTTTACACCTTCTC